TCATCTCTTCTATTCATGCTTTCAGGTCTTTTTTCAATCTCTATGGCTTCTCTGATAATTCTGTAGCTGGGGTTTTCTATAGTGGCTAGGGTTTTGGTGCCTTTGAAGTCGATGCTATGACCTGTGGCTTTCATGTGTTGGACTAGTGAGGAAGTGTGTTCCAGCTTTTTGACTGCATTTTTGTGTTCATCCAGGTGGGTACTTATTCTTCTATTGGTCTGTCCAATGTATGTGGCAGGGCATGATGCACAGGGGACTTCATATATGCCTTGGTTTTCCAGGTCAATTTTATCTTTGGGGTTTCTTAGGATGGCTGCTATTTTTCCTTCTGTTTTGAAGGCAGTCTTGATGTGATGCCTGTATAGTATCTTACTGATTTTGTCTGTAGTACCTCTTATGTAGGGCAGGGCAGCTGTTCCATAGGTCTGTTCATCTTCTAGGTCTCCATTATGTCTCTGTGTTTTTGTGGATCAGGCCAGTGATTTTGCTTTTGTGGAAGCCATTGGCTGTCAGTACTTTATCAAAATCAAATTCACCATGGAAATGGAAACAAACAAACAACTACCATTCCTACTAATCTACAAAAAAACAGATGGCACACTAGGACACACAATATACCAGAAGAAAGCACACACCAACCGCTACCTCAACACCCAATCCCACCACCACCCAGCACAGATAAACTCTGTGGCCAAAACACTAATTGCCAGAACCAAACGCCTGGCAGACAAGACACACATAAAGACTGAACTATGCACCCTGACTAAAGTACTGACAGCCAATGGCTTTCAAAAAAGCAAAATCACACACACACAAAAAACCTGGCACAGCGTAGGCTAGCACCAAATTTAAAACAGAAATGGCTGTGAAAGTCTGACTCACAGACAAACACAATACAGAAGCCTGCTGATGGCAGATGAGATTCTGCTGAAACGTTGCTACAATTTTAAAAGTACACCTATAATGACGTGGGAAAATACCTGAACAAAGCTGAATACCATGCATCTAAATACCCACAAAAACTTAAGAACACACACACACACACACACACACACACACACACACACACATCAAATCTTTCTTTCATGATAATCTTCTGATCTAAAAAATGAAAGTTGTTTGTCATTTTTCTCAATCCCTTTTCTTCCTTCAAACTAGGCTAAACTAGCATCCAAAATAATTTACTGATCCTCTCTTGTCACTTAACATTTGGAGGGCCCATTTCAGAAATCTCTTATGAATGCATTGCAGTCTTTTATCATTTGGCTGTGCAACAGACGACAGATCAGCTTTATTACACACACATCAGTGTGATATGACTGGATTATTCTGTGCTGACATTTATACAGGGAGAATTCATTTTACCAATTCTCAGACACTCACTTCTAGACATATTGATCTCTTGTAATAATTTTCAAAACATGCAAAAAAGTGGCTGTAATAAATCTTTTAATAATTAGCCATAAGGGAGGGCTATAATTAATGAACATAGTAGGGAAAAACTATCAAATAAAGAAAGTGTAAAGGAGCAGCTCCTTATTCTCTTCTGCCAATAGTATATTCTTTCTTGCAGAATCTTACTCTGAACTGTGCTACTAAAAGGAAAGATATAGAAATGAACACTATAGCTTTTCAGTGTGTAAAAGGTAAAGGTTCCCCTCGCACATATGTGCTATTCGTTTCTGGCTCTGGTGGGTGGTGCTCATCTCCGTTACAAAGCCAAAGAGCCAGGCGATTCTGTGGTCATGTGACTGGCATGACTAAACGCTGAAGGCGCATGGAATGTTGTTACCTTCCCACCAAAGTGGTCCCTATTTTTCTACTTGCATTTTTACATGCCCTTGAACTGCTGGGTTGGCAGAAGCTGGGACAAGTAATGGGAGCTCACTCCATTATGCGGTGCTAGGAATTCAAACTGCCGACCTTTCTGATTGACAAGCTCAGTGTCTTATCCACTGAGTCACTGCGTCAGTGTGTATAATATCTGTCAAATAGTAGGATTTGTTCCATAAAGATCAGATCTGGAGGCAGGTATCTTGGAATAAGATATATGATAAGTGGAAAATCGGCACCAAGGTCAATTTGAGTAATATTGGTCACGGTCCTCCTTAGTGTTGAAAATGAGAATTGCATTAGATTTATTGGCATTCTTAAATCATCATGAAGCCAGGACAATCGAAGAATATGTGGTATGTAGTCACCAGTACGAAATGCATACTCATCGCAACATAACTCATTCTGAGTCCCCAGACTATGGTTTGTTTATTTTTAAATATTGTCCTCTAATACAGGATTTTTCAACCTTTGAAACTTTAAGACACGTGGACATCAATTCCCAGTATCTTCCAGCCAGCCTGGCTGGCTGAGAGATTCTGGGAGTTGATGTCCACCTGTCCTAAAGATGCCATAGTTGAGAAATTCTGCTCTAGTATATACTATTGCCTTAGATACAGTCCTTTCCATTCAGGAAAACTATGTTTAAACCTGTTCTTTGAGAAATATATGTAGGAAAGAATATAAAATTTGTAATATGGTCCAGTAAATCAATCAGCACAGCAGATTTTTTTTAATGGTTAAGCAATCCAAAGGGCTTGATATGTTTTCAGGATAAATTTCATGCGTGTGTATTTGTGTGTATGTCTGTGTGTATGTGTACTAAACATGTAGAAATACAATGTAAGTCACGCTGAGAAGTCACACTAAATTTTCTAAAGGAAAAGTAAGATTCAAATATAATAAAGTTCCTAGATTCAGAAAATCAAATATGATTGTTGAAAATATGATTATATATATGGACTGCAAACAAGACGACACATCTATTTTTATCTTGTCTTCTGTGAGTTTTCGAGAAGCATGTAATGGTTCTTCAGTCGGATTCTTTTCTTCTTAATAGCAACTTTCCATGGTGTCTTATTAATTGAATTGCCTAGCTCATGTCATGCTTCCCATACTGTACTTCCCCATTCTGTATTTTCACGGGAACCATCATTGTTTATTTAATGAGTAACAACATGATTATTTTCTT